GTGAGTGAGCGAGGGAGAAAATGATAGGTAGAAGGGAAAAAAGCGCACGATAGAAAGAAGCACGAGGTCTCCCTCGTGGCAAGTTCGCACACGACGACGCGTGACGATGCATAAGCTGCCCATTTAGGCGCGTCAGCTTCCGGCGGACAACCAAATCGTTTGAGATTTCAAACGTCAGATACGGATAAGGTGACGTCATTTTTAGCGTCCCGGTTTTTATTATTTATTATCGATGATAATAATGCTCTACTTCTTATTTTGTTTGTTCCTTTTTTTTTATTTCTTTGTTTCCTTACATATATATATATATATTTTTTTTTTTTTTTTCTAATCAATAAAATTATTTTCAAAAGCAACGAAATTTTCGATCTTGCAAGACATTTAACTATTCGTATATTTATAAGATTTTCGTAAAAAATTTAGTTTGATTTTATGATTAATGAGAATATAACGAAGAAAAGAAAGGAAAAAAAGAAAATTCCATAGAGACGATCAAATTCGGCATCCTTTTTATCGTAGGAGATAGACAGAGAGAGAGAGAGAGAGAGAGAGAGAGGGAGATAGAGGGAGAGAATAAAAGGGAGTAAGAGAAAGAGATAGATAGATAGATAGATAGAGAGAGAGAGAGAGAGAGAGAGAGAGAGAGAGAGAAAGAGGAAGAGAGAAGATCGTTGTAGTTTAGGATAGGTAGTAGGAGATAGAGCGTATATATTGGGTCAATTATACGGTGTAGAATTGGAGATAGGGCAGAGCGGCACTATGGGGTCCGTGAGTGGCGCTCCTGGGCTCGTTTGGTAACTCGAACGTGCCAGGAAAAGGGCGTCGGCTGGTGGCGACAGCGCCCTGCTAGCCGGGCCAATCGCACCCGTGGGATCCCCGGCTACTGCAATTGCCATCAACCACACGGTGTTGGATAATTGCTCGCGTGCAGTCGCGTTCACGTGTGCGCCTGCAGTTTTACGCTTCGAATACCCGCCGACCGATGATGACGATCCTCATCCACCTCCACCTTCTCTCCGTCCTACTCCTCTTCCCTCTCTATCTCTCTCTCTCTCCCTCTCTCTCTCTCTCTCTCTCTCTCGCTCTCTTTGTTTCTCTCTATATCTCTTTCCACAAATTACTAGAACACTCGAGTCCTCATCATAGATGAAATCTTTTCTTTGTGAAATATATATATATATATATATATATATATATATATATATATATAAAAGAAGCTTATCATTATTTTATTTTCTCTCCTTCTTTTCAAATTTCTATCTTTTTCTTTTTCTTTCTTTACTTTTTAATTTCTTTCTCAAAATTCGTTTTAATTTGTTTCTATATTTATTTCTTCGTTTGTTTGTTTATATATTTATTTGTTTATTTATTTATTTAAAAAAGTACAAAAATCATGGCCTGAATAATCCAGCGACATTAATCGTCCGAAATATTATTATTTACGACGACGTAAACAATCGATATTTTCGTGAATTTCCTCACCCTCCTTCCCCCCCTACCCCCATCTCTTCCCCTCGCCCTGCTCCACCCGTATGTACCATGTAACAGGCTTAGGTCTTGATGCATTTTTCATGGACTTTAGGATTCTTAGTCGTTGGCCCTACGTAGTAGAGTAGAGCAACAGAAACGATCATAAATCATCGGATTCGAGAGCAAGAAGTACGACGCGGCACGCAATTTCCGTTTCACAAACTATCGGAAGTGTTTGGGGGCTCGACTTCGATCCAAGTGAGAGGGAGAGAGGAAGAGTGAGAAAATTGGGATAGGAAGAGGGGAATGGAAAGAAAAAGAAAACACAAAGAGGAATAGAAAAGAAAAAAGATCAAAGAAAAAAAAAAAAAAAAATAGAAAGAAAAAAGAAATAAAAAACGAAGGAGGAAGGGAAAGGTGCGTGTTCTCCTCCCCCTCCTCTCCTCATTCATCCTCCCCCTTCAAAAAAGAAAAAAAAAGGATTTTGTTTCTTGTCACGAATACATACTATAGTTCTCCTCTGGCACTCTAAGGTAGCAACGAGTTCGCGTTGTGCCGGAAGGCCATTAGCCAAATTGCGAGGTGTCTGCTCGTTGCAGCGCTCTATTACCTCTAAGGATCCCACTTCCGATTCCTCCCGGTTCGCTTATCGAGAGCAATCATCTCGAATCGATCGTGGTGGCTTCGCCACTAGTACGCGACCGTTCCCCCGTTTAATCCATTCCCTCTCCTTTTTCTTCTTCTTCTTCTTCGTCTTCTTCTTCTTCTTCTTCTTCTTCTTCTTCTTCTTCTTCTTCTCCTCCTTTCTTCTTTTTCCTCCTTATCGTACTTCTATCGATCAATGCATTTCGCACTACTTAATAATTCCAGTTAATTCTTCGTGGTAGCCGAGTTGAAGTCGAGTCGAGTCGAGTCGAGTCGAATCGAATCGTCGTTCCTTTTTCGGTATCTCTTGAATTCTTTAAGAGAAATGAGACTCGGTCGGATGATGGTCGGGCAGAGGGCAAGGAGGGTTGCTCGATGTGGGTGGGAGGAGTGGGATGGTTAGAATGACAAATATGTTACGTAGATATTGTTACACGTACCAACTAACAGTATGATATATACCTAGAAATTCTCTTCCTAAGGAATTTGCGAAAGATAAGAAGAGAATGAAAAAAAAAAAAAAAAAAAAAAAAAAGAAAAAAAAAAAGACAGAAATAAAAAGGAAAAGAAAATGAAGTGAAATGTAATGAAATGAAATGAAATGAAATGAAATGAAATGGAATGAAAAAAAAAAAAGAAAAAAAAGACAACTCGAGGATATAATTAATTGATCAAAGGATATTTATTCTTGTAATTATTAATATTAAGATTCGTTGCTTTGATACATTTTTAAATACTATTGGGCGTTTATTGATAAAAAAAAATATCAATGTCAAGAAGAACAAAGAATAAGAGAATGAGTGAGAGAGAAAGAGTGATAGGGTGGGGTGGGGGGGGGTGGATATAGAGAGAAAGAGAAAGAAAAGGAGTTCAACATCAAGAGGTTCGAACATCGAGAGAAGAAATAGGAAGAAGTGAGGTGTTCCGACGAGTTTTTCATCGAAATTTTCTTCGTATTCCAGTCATCCAAGAGAGCTGGAAGTTATCCAAGACTCTCTTGGATAGGCGTGTACTCTCCCACGGAAGCGATCCTTCGTCGACAAGTTCGACAAGATGTCGGTGCGCTCTTTTCTCATCATCATCATCTTCATCTTCTTCTTCCTCTTCTTCTCCTCCTTTTGCCCCCCACCACTCCCTTTTTCCTTTCCCTTCTTTTTTTCTCTTTTTTCACTCTTCTTCTTCTTCTTCCTCTTCTTCTTTTTCTTTGATGGATCTCTAACTTTTAAATCGCATACTTAAGTCAATAAAAAGGGCAGGTAATTAATGAGAAATAGAGATAGATAGAGATAAAGAGAGAGAGAGAGAGAGAGAGAGAGAGAGAGAGATAGAGATAGAGATAGAGATAGAACTTATCAAAAGTTATTCTAACTTGGGAGGCATAAAAAAGAATTTATATAAATACATGTATATAAGTACGTATGTACAAATATTTGGTTCTGTCTTAAAAATTAGTATTAAAATAGAAATGAAAGAAAAACATGGAAGAAAGAGAGAAAGAAGGGAAGGTAGGAATGAGAGATAGATAAAGGAACAAGTGTATGTGGGTGTACTACGACATAAGGATCGATCTTCCTTCTTCGTTTCTTTCAAAGGAATTACGTAACACGTCTAGACGAAGTCACGCAGTGTCAGAAGTATCTCTTGGCGAGTAAGAGAGAGAGGGAGAGGGAGAGAGAGAGAGAGAGAGAGAGAAAGAGAGAGACAGAGAAAGAGAAAGAGAGAGAAACATAGAAAGATAGAATGGGAAGGCGTCTCTCGCGTGCGTCGCTCTGGTTATTTATTTTACCACGAGTTTCTCCTCACGCGCTTGTCTATGGATAAAACCGTGGCTTTGCGAGCCACACGGAAGAATCCCTATATAAGAGAGACAGAAAGAGAGAGAGAGAGAGAGAGATAAAGAGAGAAAGAGAGGGAGAGAAAGAGAGAGAGAGAGAGAAAGAAAAACGAGAGAGAAGTGTGGCGAAAAGGACAGGAAAGAGATAAAAAAAAAACTTGGTGGAGATAGCGGAAAGGAGGAAAAGTGAGAAAGAGAGAGAGAGAGAGAGAGAGAGAGAGAGAAAAGTGAGAAAAAAGATTAGAGGAGGAAATTCGTAGAAGGTTTCCACTGAGTATGGAAATGATTAATGCATCCAACGATGGGCCTCTTTGGTCCATCATCCACTCTTGAAACATTCTATACATTATATCTAACCATTACGCATGTCTTCTTGCCGTATATCCATCCCCCATCCAAATGTTCATCCCGTGTATGTATATAGTTCTCAATCTATGCTCTTATTCTGTCTATCCTCTTGCAGGCTAATCACTCTCTTGCTCGGTTTAATACCTAAATCTAGTTCGAAGTAATTAATTTTTAAGTTAGTTATATTTAGGGATATATATACACGTGTGTGTGTGTGTGTGTACGTACATATATAGAGATATTGACGAAAGATCTCTCTTCTCAGTGGTTTAAAATACTTAACGAATTTCTATTTTCTTCTTCCTTTTTTTTTTTTTTTTTTTTTCTTTAATTATAATTAATCATTGAAGATGCTCCTCGACACAATAATAATAATAATAATAATAATAATAATAATAATAATAATAATAATAATAATAATAATAATAATAATAGTAATAATAATAATAATAATAATAATAATAATAATAATAATAATAATAATAATAATTCATTCATAATTTGTTTAGTGAAGTGTTTAATGAATACTTGATATCTTTTAGTAAGAATAAAGTGTTTAATGAATACTTGATATCTTTCTTTTTTTTTTTGTTTCTATTTACTTATTTATTTCTTTTTTTTTTCTACTTTTTTTTTTTTTTTTTTTTTTTTTTTTTCTTTTTTAAAGATAACGCGATAACTTTCTGATATTTGGTTAATGTCC